GGTACTTGCTAATATAGTGGGGGCACCGGATTGTACTGTGGTGGTTTCGGGTGGTATTGTGGCTAGGGCACCAAATCATATTGTGGTGGTACTGGGTGGTACTGTAGAGGAGTAGGGTCATATCGGGGTGGCTCGAGATCCTCTCATTACAGGGATGGCTCAACCTGTGGTAGTGGAGGAGGGTCAGGTAGCTCCTTCCTTTCCTCTCGGCCCTGTTAGACAGCAATGAGTCTCTTCAGTATCTCAAATATCCAATCAACATCTTCCCTAACCAAACCATCCCAAGTTGTTCGGTTTAGTGGGTGTCTTCCTCTTCTCATCTCTCTATACCTGCATTTCACAAGGAATAGTTGAATGATAATTCATTGTTTTGGTGTTCCCTAAGAATTATTGTGTAAGGAATGGGTCTGAAGAATGCGGCTTTGATACTAACTGTAACGGCCCAGGAAATCCAAAGGAAAAAGATAATAACTTAAGTGCGGAAACGAAATAAAAGGGTTAAGGTTTACATTTCTTACACAATAACTTAAAAGTACTAAACAGCATTACGGAATTCATCATTTTAAAAGAAACACAAGAAATAAGGAAATAAACGGAAAAGAGAAAATATCTAGCATCTACTCACAATCTTCTTGCGGATCGGGCATTGGAACCTGGCCTTCTTGATCTGAAATAGTTAAATAAGGAATGAGCTACACTAGCTCAGTAAGGATATCACACTATATCATCGACACAGAAATAAAGGTGGGCATAAAACAAAAACAACTAATGGAGCACTAAATTTAGCAAATATATTTATTAATCATAAAATCATTTATCGTTCACTTACCGTAACGAGATTTCTAAAAATAACCTATAAAGTCAATAACATAACACATATCATAATTTAATATGCAATCAGTCAGAACAACAACGTAGCACATATCATAAATCTATACGCATCGTCAAATAACTAAACAATAACTGTCACTTTTTCACCAACCTACTAGTATCCTTAGGGGTTCATAGGGATGTCTCTGCTATACGTGAACCATTTCTTTTAACAATCTCAATTACGGGCCGTCCTCATACCCCGTCTGGTATGAGCACCAATTTATTAAATCTCAATACCCCGTCTAGTATGAGGGTGAGGCGGGTCATCCCCATACCCCATCCAGTATGACCGCCAAATTATCAAGTCTCCAAACTCCGTCTGGTATGAGACAATGTTCACGGTAGGGTTCCCTATATACCCGGTCTGTCCACCATCTCCCAGAATATCTAGTAAGCCTATCGTTCCATCTGTTTATTTAGTCACACAACTTTCCCATTTTCCTTTAGTCTCCATTTTTCAAATCAACCATGATCACATAAGCAAACAAACATACATCAAGGAATGCAATCATATTTCAATTTCTCAATCAAACAGTAGTCACGTAAGATAGCAATTCATGCATTCAAACCATAAAATTAATAAACTAGATACCATAATACTTTTAGACTGTAAAATACATCAACAGAGATTAATAGAGAACAATTTCCAGTTCGGGCTCCATTAGCAATCAGTAATTAATTATGCACATTCATTTAATTTGCACAAGTACTATATTATTATTTATTTAGACTTCAATTCTATGATAGAGAATAAAGTTAGGGATCCTTACTCGATTTGACACCTGAAAAACTAAGCTGTTTACTGCGCATACGGGCGATCCCTGGATTCCCTGAATTTTTCTCCAGGAATCGAAACGAGCTAATAGTACCTACAAATGTTCCAAACAAATCCAAAATTAGTCCCAGGGCCCACTTGACCAATTTCAAAATTTTGACACGGCAGCTCTGCCGTGCTTCGACGACTGCACCGTCGCCCGTAGTGCTAGTCCACCTCGGGTCGACTGTTTTGGCTAATTTTGCATCGATCCCTGCAATAAAACATTTTAAAGGGCCTTGGTTGGCCCAAAAAACCAAAATTCACCGGCAGTAAAGCTTCCGGTGTGGTGGCTCCTCCGACTCATATAACGTTTAAGTGTTTTGCTCCAGTCAACTTGTAGAGAAAGACACAGTGATCACAACAGTGAAAATTACTCAAAACGGGAATCGGGAATGGCCTCATCGGAGCGTTTTGTGAAATTTTCGCAGCGGCGGCGCCAGCCTCGTCAGTATTTTCT